GAAATGTCAAATGCAAGACTAAGCAATCTTGTTGATAGGAACAGACGTGACAGGGACGAATAGGAAAGTATGGTAAAATTAGCACCAAGGAAGTTATGGTTCAGTTGCTAATTGTTGGTTTTTGAGGATAAAAGGATTGCAATGAGAGGGTTGGTACCTACTTGGTCAAGCTGTCTACCTGACAGTTCGGTCAAGATGGTCAGCATTGCAATGTGAATCTAAGTGGGCGGTCCGCATTGCGGTGTGAATCTAAGTAAGTACTTTATATGCTATTGGTTGAATTTTACTTGCTTATTGAACTAACATTTAATAAAGCTTTTAGAACTTTGAAGTGACTTATGTTCTGGTGTGTCTGTCTCCCGTGTTTAATGAGGTTTTTTCCCTGACAGTTTTGGTGCATTGGCCGGGAAGGGACGAGCTGAACATTTGCTCTCAGCTGCTCCTTCCTGGAATTACCCACACCGTTGCTTCAAAGTTCTAAGGTAAGAAAGTACTCTTTTTCTGGGAAGTTCCACTGGGGATTTTTGGTTTCTTTGGAATTTCCAATATGTACTTTACTATGTAAGTAAATGTACTATGTACGTAGATTCTAGGAAGGAGTCATGCTTACCTATCTCTCCTTGCTTGTATAAGGCCTTGCTTGGTTGTATGAGATGCCTGAGAAAAGCTTTCCTGAGCAGCACCTTCTTCCGAGCCTCAAAGGTCACAGCGCTGCCCTTTCGGATGACAACATGCACGTTGACTATTGCTTCTTCCTTCACCACGCAAAAGAGAACAGCGGTTTTATTAATGGGATGACTGAGAACAGAAAAGTACTCAGTTCACTATCCCCCTCCCCTAGCTAGGTCTCAAATTAGATATGCAGGCACCCAGAGGTGCCCCTAGGATCCAGCACTGCCATCAAAATGAGAAAAGCAGCATTGCACTGTCAAGACACAAGCTTTCACACACTTGTGTGATGTCAAGGCATCATCATTTGACACCCAGGGGGTGTCTCTGCATACACACAAGCACACTCAAAACTTTGTCTTTCTCCTGAATATCTTTGTTCCATTTCTCTCCCTCCCCTTGGACTCTTTCCGTTTTCTTCAGTCATGCTAATCCTTCCATAGCCAGAGGGATGCCAGTTGGAGATTATTGGAATTATAAGAGGACCTTCTAATGATGGGAATAACTGGATTAGAGGAAAAAAGTTTGTTATGTAGGACAAAACTTACACCATAAATAGTCTTGCTTGTGGAAACAAAGCTTGGGGCCTGAAGGGAAGAAAAAAATCAGTTTAGCACAAAGGCTTTTAAATGTACCCACACTCGACCAATAAAATAGACTGCTCCTTGCAAAGATGCTACTTTCCCAAGAGAAGACTGAGTTGACATACCATCTAAAGCTATTGTTCAGTTAATTCTGTTTGTTGACTAAACTATAGCTGGCTGGGTTTGCACAAATAGACCATGGTTTACAAGTGCTTGGTTCTACACAATATATTGTGTCAAAAGTAAACCACATTATGGTTTCCCATGTTGTATGAATCCAAAAACAGCCAGGCAGAGAAAATCCTTTACAACTGAACTTTTATCAAATTTAAACTCAACGTTGATCAATGTTGCTTATTTTTCTTTCAGACTGTGAATGGGTCACAAATTTATATGATTCATCAATATGAATGTGTTCATGAGCTAATAACTAATGTTGAGTTCAAAGCTTAAAAACTTATTTGTAAGATCCATATAAATTATAATAAAATATAATTTAAAAAATTATATATATTTAAAAAATCATTCTTAAAAAAATCATTTGTGGTCTGAGGATGTAGGTCAGATAGATTTATTTATTTATTTATTTCATATATCAAATTTGTCACTGCCCATCTCATTAAAAAACAACTCTGGGCTTTATTAATTCATGGGGAATAATACATTTAGATTCTCCTTTCCTCCTTTGAAAACACAGTAAAAGAATATTATTTATTGTGCAATAGCTATGCCTCATTCACTGAATTTGACAGAGGATTCAGCAATAGCCATTCATAATTTCCCCCATATACTTTTCCCATCATTTTTCTGACCACAGAATATCTATTAAGTAAAGCAATATTGGAACAGTTGCAGAGTTTTCTGGAGGTGAGGAAAGAAATATATACCACAGGAGGAGTTGCCTCTAGGAAAGGCAAATGACATGTTTTACTTGCCCTTCCTATGTTTTTGTTTTTATTTTTTAAAAACCACTTTTTTTCTGCTATTTTATGGACCTTTTTTCCTTCTACTTTTAAAATTATATTCCTCTAATTTTATTCGCTGTTTCTATCCTCTGTTACTGTGTGAATCTCCCAGATATTTCCAGAGTTAGCACAGCTAAATCAAGTGTGATTATTTTCTTACCAATGAAGAAGATTCTCAGCAGCTGCTGAGAAGGAAGACAAATACCCTCAGCATCAGGTACCACCTCTCAACACCAGTTGTGGAGAAATACGAGCAGGGGGATGTTCTTACCATCTTTGAAGGCTTCCCAAACACATCCAGAAGACTATTAGATTTGTCTCTTCTTCTAGAGTATTGTTTCTCAACCCTGGCAACTTTAAGAAGCACACTGACTGGGGAATTCTGGGAGCTGAAGTCCATACATCTTAAAATTGCCAAGGTTGAGAAACACTGTTTTAGAGGCCAATTTTTGTCTATCCAGCCCTCATTCCAGAGACATCTACAGTGTACAGTCAAGAAAGTCAAGGTGGCAGCCACAACTGTGCAATTGAAGCTTTGCCTGTGACACACACAAATAATAGGTAGAACTTCACCCGCACCAGTGTGGATGCTGATTTTTTTTTTTTTTAACCATACCCTGCCTCATTCCATGCCATCAGAAGTGATTGATAGAAATAAAATTTCTATACGGAACTAACTCACATGGAGAGTTTTGCTAATCTGACGGAAGCAAGGAGGTGATAGTTACAACAAATCCAGTTCTTCAGGGCTACAGTGAGAGGACTGCCCACGTCTCTCCAGAGTATTCTTTTTCTAGTTAGGAAGGCTGAGAACTTCCCATGGAGCAACTTGCCTGGAAGCGGATACACTCAAAGGTTCCTGGGGCTTCCACGTCCTTCTCCGCTAAGGTGTGGTTCTGAGCTTTCATCTCCAAGGTCACCAACAGGTGGTTAGTCTCTTGGAGGGAGCGTAGCAATATGCAGAACTTTTCCATATTGGGATGATCAATTATGGCTGGGAAAACCACCACGTAATGACTGGAAGATAAGGGAAAGAGGTTATCTCATAGCCTGGGGGGATTCCAGACTATGTGAGTTCAAGAATTTAACAATTCCAGCCAACTTAAATCAGGTTATACTCTTATTTTCTCAGCAATTCTTAGTCTTTGACTGATCAGACTTTTACCTTAGTACAGGTAGTCCCCAGGTTAAGAATACCCAGTTTACAGACAACCCATAGTTAAGAACAGAGCCTATTGCAGCAAAAATTAAGTTAAATACACAATGGTTCAAGTTCATTACACAATACTACTTATACAGTATTATATAATACTGTTCTGGCTTACATACAAATTTGACTTATGGACAGACCGTGGGAACAGCACTTGTTCTTAAACTGGGGACTACTTGTACTTGTTAAAATATTTGTCACTGGAAAAACTCAATTCCCCCATTAGTGCAAATCTGACTGTCAGGCATAGTTATACATTTGTCAGCTGGCCCTGCTTGCCAGAAAGCAAGTGTAACTGCACAGATGCCTACAAGAAGCCCTTCTCCTATTTTGGTCAGCTTAATTTATCAGTACTGCTCTTTGTGAAATAATGCCAGTGACAAGAGTGGCAAACTTGACTAAGTCCATACCTGCACTTCTCTTGAACCCCTGAGTGCAGAAACCATGACATCCTCCAGGGTAGTACAAGTCCACCCCCTGCTGGTGTTTCCAGCCTCTACTTCAGAAATATTGTTTTACTTCCTGAGTCATCTCAAGCACTTCTGAGCAATTGGTCTACTTGTGCTTCTCTTTAGCAACATCCCAAGCCTTGACTGGCTACAGAAGGAGGAGTAGGAGTCTTCTCTCCTTCATCTTTCGTTCCACCCTAGGTCCATAGAAAGTTTGCTTGGAACCTGAACCATCAGTCCTTCATTGTTGCAAAGTAGTATTTGCTGAAACGTTGTAACTTTCTTCCAACATGGTTATGTTGCAATTTAAAGATTAAAAAAGGAAAAGGGTACCACTGCAGTACTACAGACAAGAGAGAAAGCAGCAGGAGGATACTTCACCCAGCCTGAGCAAAACCCAGAAGGTACCCACTGAGAAATGTGAGGGTTGAATGGAGCTTCTAGAGGAGATGGGAAACCATGGGGCAAGGAAAGTTCATTGATCTAACAGCCATTTTGGTTCAACAGTGAGATGATAAAAATGGCAGCTGCTGACTAGCAGAGAACATAGCAGCCTAAGTAAGACACAACAGCTGTCCAAGACAGCAACCAGCTACTTGAGGGAGGGAGTGTGCCAGGCACTGTAACCAATCCGAGATGGGGTATCACTAGAGCAGAAGTAAGCACTACAGGCCATCTGCTTCTGCTTGGAAGGCTATAAGTCAGCTCAGGAGAGGAAACATCCAGTTTAAAGTGCAGCTTCAAATGGGGTGGGGTGGGGTGGGGTGGTAGATCTGTAATGAGGATGACACCGTCTGTTTCTGCACTCAGGAAGCAGCGGGCCAAGTAGAAAGCACAGATCCACCCTCAGTCCAGACTGAGCACCAACCAGGCCACATTGTCAAACCACTGCAATCCAGTGGGAATTTGTTAAGTTGGCAGGAGCAGCAATGAGAGACAAGCAGCTTAGGCCACTGAGTAGAATTGCCCTAAGATATACATGAGAAGTAGGTAACCTGTAAGTCCACCAGATCTTACTGAACTTCAGTTCCCAGCAGCCAGGCACTCTAGTGAAGGTTCCTGGGAGTTGTAATTTACTAATATCTGGAGAGCTGCAGGTTCTATATCCCTGACATACATACATACTCAATATTGTTGCCATCTGGTGATTTTTTTCCGATTGCTAGGATTTCCTCTGTCATTATGGAGACTGGAAAAAGTCTCCAAATGTGGAAGATGCCTGAGTGATTCTGGAATTCTATCTACAGAAGTGCTTACTGCCTTCACTCAGGCTGTTTATACATATATAAAAAGAGCAATGTTTACAATCATGTGAAAGCTCTCCAGTGCTCTCTTCCCAGGGAACCCAAGGCTGCAATTCTGGACATGCTTGTTCTGTTCAGTTTAATGGTATTTCTCCGAAGCAAGCATGTATAGGATTAAGCTGCATACTGCTATTTCCAGCACTTTGGCCTAGAATACATATGGAATTTCCAGCACTCATAAAATGGTTGCATGGAAAGCTTGCTCATTCCAAAAACCAGCCTACAAAGAGGTTTGCCTTGCCCACACATACATCTTGCTGCCTCAACCCATAATACCCTTGCATTTTTTCCAGGCATGCTAGTATACTTCCAAACAAAAGCACTCAGCCACTATTTTTATTTTATAAACAAACCTGTGGGGTAGACAAAGGCATTCATGGAAATGAAGATGATGCTGAGACTAGTTCCTTGCTTCACATTTATTCATTCATTCAAGCTTTTTTTAAAAAATCAGATGTAACAGAGTCAAAGAGAGTCAGATGTAGCCCCAGACACCACACTTTTTTTTTAATCCGCACTCAATCGTTACTGACTCTGCGGTGACTGCCTGGACGAGTCCCTGCAGTTTTCAAGGGAAGGTGTTTCGGAAGTGGTTTGCATGGCTTCCTTCCTAGAGCAGAGCCCAGCTGGCAAGCGCAGGAGGCGGGGTTCCCGTTGCTTCGCGCCTTTTTGGGGCGTGCATGGCTTCCGCATTACCGGCAACTGCTCCTGTCTCCCTTGCAAGCGCCGCCAGCATTTTTCCTCCCACCAGGGTGTGAGTCCCCATTTATCTACTCACATACGTTTTCGAGCTGCTGGGTTGGCAGGAGCTGGGGAGGAAGCAGGAGCTCGCTCTGCTGCGTGGAGCTGGGCTCGAACCGCTGAAGTGTCGACCATTTTTGGCCGGCAACTTTCAGCGTCATTAAGCCACTGGACCACCGCGTCACCACACTGCTTACCCTGTCTCTAAAAGCTGCCTCCGCTTCAGTTTGGGAATTCTGAATTAAAGTAACTCCCATATACCAAAAGCTCTGTTCTTGCTCTTATGGATGCATCTGCACTCCATGAAATTGATTAGGCAAAGAGAAATGAAAAACTGAAATCTTACGGATCTGAAATGACCAAAGCTGATTGTGACAGCAAAGCCAGGATCCAAAGTCGGATGGCTGTCCCCATGACTTGTCCTCTCACAGGCAGCAATAGTTAAATCTACACTCTAATACTGGAGTCCTGGTGCAAATACTTAAATACTCTTCCAGAGACCCTGTTCCAAAGAACATATGTACTTTGAGATGTATGAACTTCACCTTCCCAGGTCAATGATCTCCATATTTACTTTTCTCCTTCTCTGGATATAATTAAGCAATACGCATCAACTCCCATCATTCCCTGGCATGGGCTATTACTGCGATAGTCTTGAGAGAGACAGATAGCCTGGCTGCTACCAAGATCTTTTTCTCTAAAGCTTAGGAATGTAGTGAAGTATGAGCTTGAGGTATATTTCAGTAGAATCAGGAACAGGGCATCAGAGGAAACCAGAATGAATAACAGAAATTGCTGAATCTCAGCTCCATTAGTTCTGCCCAAGGAACTGTGAGAATTGCAGTCCAGCCATATCTGGAGGATTGCATACTGCCAGCTTTGCAGATGAGTCTTCTTAACTAAGGGTGACTTATTGGTAAAACTGCACACATAATTTCTAAACAGCACTGTTCAGTTGCTATCCATTAATAGGCAACTTCAAGGCTGCAGCAGCTGTTCTTTATTGTCTAACTGCTAAATTTGAACTGGTCAGAACTTCAGAATAATCCCCCCCCCCGGGTTAAAAAAGGTGTGTAAATAAAATACCTGGTGCTTACAAATCTTATAGGAGATTTGGACCATCTCCTACTAGCCCCAAACAGCATGACCACTTGCAAAAGACTAGTCCAAAGTATCTGGAGACACTGTTTACTGTGTTATCAAGATAGTTTGGCTTGGTGCCAAACTTGGGATGAAAAGAAAACAGCAAGGGGTGGGAGAACTCAGCACAGTCACCTCAACTGACCCTCCTCACAATATGCACCAACAGAGGAAGGCTTGCTCTTTTTTTAATAGAGTACAGTTTAAATTCAGTTACTACGTGTAGATGATGGTGTACATATGTGATACCAAAAATCTGAAGTGAACTTTATTCAGCCTGGAAAAGTCAATTAAACACAGGGGGAGGATGCTGTGGGTCAGTGACCAGGAAACCAATCAGCATCAAGAGGAGCAGCAGTGGGGATGGGCAAAGTCTTCAGTTTTGTTTCTACAAATGCTTTTAGACTAAAGTTAGAATGGGGGCAAGTTTTCTTTTGGAGAGACAACAGGTTACAAACATCAGGAAGCAGGGGATAGGAAGAAAAAAGTTTTTAAGAAATTAAATAAACTGTGCAATACATCAAAACTATTGAAGAGGGTTTCATCATTGTCATCATCATCAATTAATCTCTCCCTTTCTGTTTCTTCAACAAACAATGTGAAAATAATACAAACTTAAACCAAAACAACATGAATGCAATTAAAATCAACATTAAGGTCAAACATAGAAATAAATAAACAGTTACAAACTTGGGAGAAGAGATGTGTTTTTGCCATCTTCCTAAAGACTGTGAAAGTGGGGGCCCAACATATCTCCCTATAAGCTCAGGAGCCACATAGGAAAAGGTGCCTTCCCATGTACCACATGACCATGCTTCTAATAGCAGGAAGACTTTCAAAGGGACTTCTCCTGCTATCTAAATTGCTGGGCAAGTTCATAATGGAACAGGTGGTTCCATAGATAGTCAGGTCCTAAACTTTAAAGACCAGCACCATCTCCCTGAATTGTGTTCCAGAAGGCAAACAGTAGCTAGCCCAGATCTTTCAGTAAAGGCGTCATATGATCCCTATGCCTTGCACTGGTCACCAGCCTAGCCACTGCATTTTACATCCACTGCAAGACTTTCAAGACTCTTTTCAAGGGTAGCTCCACACACAGTGCATCACAATAGTTAAGAAGCGTTTTAATCAAGGCATGGATAACTGTTCCTAAATATAGCCAGCTCAGGAAGAGTCACAGTTGATGCATACACACTTCTTGCATATTATCACAAACCTTCTGGAGGAATAGAACCCCATCCAGAATAAGCCTCACATCAATTCCAGTCCAACTTTTTCTTTACCAACAGCACTTCCTTTCTGGATTTAATTTCAGCTTTTTCTCTCTCATCCAGCCCATTAAGTGCTACTGAAGGGCACAGATGGTTTCCATGGCATTAGACAGTAAGGAGCAGGGTGTCATCAGCATATCAACAGCACTCCCCATGACCTCTTTATGTAGATACTGAGTAATATAGGTGACCAAATAGATCCCACTGGTGCCAAACAGTAATTACCTAGCATCACTGTTCAGACACATTCCAGCACGAAGGACCAGAACCACCACAAAACAGCCAGATGGTCCAGAAGGATACTGTGGTAGATATTATTAAAAGCTGTTCAGAGATGCAAGAGAACTCCCCTCATCTAGCTTCAGGCATTGGTCATCTCCCAATTGTCAATTAAAGATGGCAGCTTTGGTTTCCCAAATCTTAAATTATACCATTACATTTTGAATAGTACCAAATTTTAGATACCTTCAACTTAGTATAAATTCTCCTTCCTGGGCCCTTTTGGAATAATCATAGGCAGCACCTTTAGATAATTAAACTGTTTTGAGTTCAAAATATATCAGCTGTTCCTATCGTATTGCTCTGAAGGTTATGGTACATTATTTCTGAAAACTGCATTTTGATCCTTTTTCTCACACAAAATTGATGCTAGACATTAACACTAATTTAAAAAATTGTTATATCTAGATGGATAGATGTGGATGGATACTGGGATTTTTATTTTCAGTCAACTTTGGATAATTGAATCTCAGTTTGGCAAGTAGTCAAGGGTGCTGAGCTAGGAATGGGGAGGCCTCCCTTGGACACAGAAGCCAGCTGGTGACTTTTGGGCCAGTCATTCAAACTCTGCCCTAGACTGGCAAGTTGAAGAAAACATCCCAGAAGATGATACTGCCAAGCCACTTCTGAAACGTTGCCCAAAATGCATAGACCTGTTCTTTTAGTTGTCAAAACTCAAGACTGACTCAGGCAACAAAAAACAAAAAAGGATGATAATGATGATTTTACATCATTTCCTTTGCTAAAAGATACATATTATGTATTCATTGCCACCCACTGGGAGTACTTAAAACTGCAACATTTATTGGCATCTCAGTTTGGACTAGTGGCATTTTCAGCTTCAAAGACAACTAATTAATTAAAATAATCACTCATTCCGACCACGCAACAAGTCCACAATTAGCCTTTACATACATACCTGTTACTGATAAATCATTTTGATATTCTAAAGACTGGGTGGGATAAGGAAGTCGAGATCTTCATTTTCTCTAAATAATGGAAAAGTGTCCTAATATTAGTCAGCATCAAAAATGCAAACAGATCTTAGATTACAGCTTATTTAATGAAAAATAATATTTCAGATTTATTAGACCCCACTGCATTGCTACAGAAAAGAAATGAGTAAATCATCATGTTGTTGGAGAGACAATGAGAATACCGCTTTGTTAAAAGAGTTTTTTGCCACGTCCTCTTATAAAGAGCCAGTTTGGTGCAATATTTAAGGTGCAGATATGTTTGTTGTTGTATTGCTTTTTTCTTTAGCTGTTTGTTTTCCTTCTGTTGTTTTAGTAAATCAATAAGGGCCAAAATTTCAAATTATTTAAATTAATATGAAGTCAGAAAGTTAATTCAAAGGACCACCCATGGATTTCAAGCAATTTTCTTGGGATGTCTGGATGCCTTACTGTCAATGGCAATCTTAATGTCATGCAAAGACTTACACACATTTGTCAGCCTGTAACAACTAATCAGCAATTAAAGCTCCAGCCAATCACAGTGTGGCAGCTGCCAGGTGAAGTTCCAGTGGAGTTTCTAGATAGAGCCACTGCAGCTAGGATTGTGGCAGGATTGAAGGCAGTCACCCCGGGATTATTTATGTGAAAGACTTGCCTAGAATGATGGCTGAGTTAAGAGAACTGAAAAACTGGGAAGAGAATAAAGCTTTCTGGGATAACAAACCCATACAGCACTTGCAATGTAGACTGGCATAGTTGGAACTAGCTGAGAAATAAGCTAGGCAAATTGTGTTTAATGCAAATTGTGTTAAAAACTAGGGTGCAGACTACCACTATTCTAGCAATATCCAGTTATGTCTTCCATGACCACCAAGGCCAAATACTGCAAACCCTGAGCAAATGGTGTCATTGATAGATTCTGGGCTAATGATTGGGAAACTCCAGGCAAGAATTCCAAGGCTATGTTAACTGCAAGCATAAATACAGACTTTGATATGTTTTGAGTACTGTGCAATCAATGAGTCAAGAAATATATAGTTAAATGGAAGCTTAAAAAGAAGAGAAAAGACATAGACCAGTGGGATAGCAAGCCTAATAAATAGTTGGTTAAATGCCTAAAAGAACTAGAAACTCAGGCTCAGAGCAGAATAATGCAGACAACATGCTGGATGCCCAATCAGCTTTGTGCCATAGCACAGACAGAATTACATCTTGATAAATTTGACTAAAGAAATTCATGATCTAAAACAACAAAGACAAGAAGTACAAGTAGCCTAAATTGCAGAAACAGATTAAGAAACAAGAAAAACTGGAGGACTACCTTCTCTACCAACTCTTACCATCATTTTACAATGGCGAATTGGCATGCCTCTCACCATCATTATTAGGACTAATTTGCTCCCTTGTAACCTGTCATCTGAGCAGGCAGCTCATCCTTAAAAAAGACTTAAGGTAAAGGAAACAATGCCAAATACTTCCAATTGAGGAAGACAGGACAATTCGCTCTTCCTAGTGCTGGCCTGGAATACAAATAACCTTACTCCTGCACATGTTGCTTGCAAAAAACATACAATACAGGTGCAGATAAGTTGCACTAAATGCATGCACAGACAGAAAACAACGAAGATGAAGAGTGTGGAGCAGGATGGTGAAGGATTCATGGAGAACAATGTTGACACATTTATGCACATTATACCCATGAGCTACTCTGACTCCTCTCCTTGACCCCTCCTGTGTTGTTGTCCTCTACTACCAGCAGTGTGTGATGAACAGCAATGGCAGACATTATGGTAGCTCACAGCAGAACAGTGACGCATGT